AAAAAAAAAAAAAAAAAAAGCATTTCCATAGGGAGGGGAAGATCACATGTAGGATCAGGTGTAACCGTGAGCATATAAAGTATAAGGGCAAGCTGGGACCATCATTGGTACTAAAACCACTTAACTGATGCCAGGAATCCTGCTCCTATCCTAAATAAAGGCAGAATTTACTAGCAGTTCTCAGACCTCAGCAAAGGGCCAACTCAGCTAAAGCCAGTATATATACACAACAGAGATTCTATCATAGATTCAGAGCTCAACCCTGCTGGAGTTGTGCCATTTTACCCAAGGCTTTGACCTACCTGCACATCTTAGGGCAGAATGCCACCTTGTCCTCCTTTGGTTGGCCTATCTACTCTTCCGCTGATTGGTCAATATCTCAGGAACCCACCAGTCTCCTTTTGCCCATCCCTATGCCTCTGCGATCTATAACTGTGGGTGACTACGTCAGTCACACATTTAAAAGCTAATTACTGCCACCATATGTAAGGAAAGCCAAAGAGGCAGCTGGAGCAGATCAGGCAGGCCCAAGACAATTTGAGGTTATAAAGACGGAGAAGGAATGATTCCAAATGAAGCTTCCAAGGAAATATCTGCAAGAACTGATGGTACTCTGGAGTGGGGCAGGAGGAAGCCAACGAAGAGGACTCTGTGTGAGGCACAGTGGTGGTGCTGACACCACTCATCATTAGGGCTGTTTCTTCATTCCTCTCTTCATTGCTAGCACCCAGTTCTTCTAGGGTAATAAACATACATTCAGGTAACAAATGACACACAAATTATATCAAATTAAAGACAAAGTACATACATTTGCATTGGCAATTTTTAATGTTTCACTTGTGCAGAACTGAAATTTGTATTTAAAGGCACAGAAGGAAGGAAAGGCAGTTATCACAGCAGGAAGTCACAGATAAAGGATGCTGGATAAAAGGCATAGGACTCCTCCTTTTTAGCCTTAAGAAAAAAAAATAATGCAGTACTAAACTAGATTTTTATTTTTATTATATTTCCATGTGAAAACATCACCCAAATGTCAGTGGAGCAAGAGACTTTATGGCCAGATACCAAAGGTGCACAGTCGATCCCACTTTGGAATAAATGCCCAGAAGGTAAACATTATCAGTGAGTGAGAGCTCTAGGCACAAAGTAAGTTCTCATTGAGAAAGTGGACAGAAATATGAAGCAGTGAAACATACAGCTTTAAAAACTGGGAATCTTTCATGACATTTGATTTCAAAGTAAACATCTGCATTTCAAGAATTGTAATTTTCAAAAGTAGAATCAGGCCTGATTAAGTAGTACGTATGACTTACTGATAAAATTACAAAAATAAAAACAAAAACTCTTCTGCCCTTGAAAGAGATAGAAAATTACATTTTTTCCTGTAATATCAGAGATTCATCAGTATTTCACCTTTATGTCGCTTAAAAAATGTTATTTTTTCTTCATCTTTCATGTTCTGCCACTTTTAACATAGCAAAACCTGTTCAATATGACCATCTCTACTAAGCGAAAAGATATATTATTTACTGCGTGAATGAGAAAAAGCTACAATTTACCCCAATGGTATCATATCTACCAAGTGGAAAAAAGATAAAAACAGGGATTTTCCTAAAAAAAAAAACTCAATGATTTAAAATATCCTATACATAATTTCTAATTTCAAAGCATTATTTGACGTTCTTGATCAGTGTGTAGCAAGAGAGGGAATAGAAAATTTAAAATTTGGTAGAACAGGAGAGCGTTTTTCTAACTACTTTCATTTAAATAACATTGGCCTTACCAACTATTACCTTTCTTAGTTAAAACACTGATTGGCAAGGTGAAATCATAACAGCATGAAATTAAGACCAGATTTCAACCTAGGTATGAGCACAATGATTCAAGACCTCTTTTTCCACCTCACAGAAAGGACTCCTGAGATGGTGCTCCCCCTTTTAAACATATGCCCTCAAACACCTCATATACAGATTCCATATAAGTATATACATGAAACAAGTTCTGTATTTTTCCAAATAATTTGACAATTTCATGGTAAATTAGATGTCAAAGATAAACTATGCCTTTAAAAACATTAAGCTTCAAAATTCATCCAGTGTTTTAAGAAATGAATTATTAAAATCATTTTTGAAATGACATAATACATGTATTTAAATCTGGGCTTTCCTGTACTTAATTTTTCTTTTAAAAAAAAGTTTAAAAACATCATGAGCTGGAACATGCTGCCAGGACAGAAACAATCAGAAATGTCTTCAGTCACAGACCCTGGGCATCTCAGTGTTGCTTCGTACTTTTCAAAGCTTGAAGTCTCTCTAGCAGTGGAGGATGAGAATAATGCCACATTGAGAACAACCAGTCAGAAACAGGGAATCCCAAGTTATCTTTGTTAAGTTTGATTAAAGCAGAATATAAGTCTTGAGCCTTCCCAAGTTTCTTGGCAAATGCATCAGCTTGAAACTCAAATCTGCGGCTTAGGACTGTTAGGCAAAAAGAAAGAACCTGAAAAAGTAAATGAAAAGGTTTTAGTCACTGTTCACCTCTTCGTTGTCACTGAAGGTTACCTGAGCTGAGACTGTAGAGGAAGTTTTGGCTTGGGATAAGAGAAATGGCAGGACAAAAGAAAGATCACTAATATTTAGGGGACCTATGGTGAGGAAATTATAAATTGAGCCTTATTTTCCCCAACCAAACAGGCCAGAAACAGATATACAAGTTAAACATCCCTAACTGAAAATTTGAAATCTGAAATGTTTCAAAATCTGAAACTTCTTGAGTGCTGCTGACAAGAGACTCAAAAGTCATGCTGAGCCTGGAAGCAGTGGCTCACACCTATAATCCAAGCACTTTGGGAGGTCGAGGCAGGTGGACCACCTGACGTCAGGAGTTCGAGATAAGCCTGGCCAACATGGTGAAACCCCATCTCTACTAAAAATACAAAAATTACCTGGGTGTGGTGGTGCACTCCCGTAATCTCAGCTATCTGGGAGGCTGAGGCAGGAGAACTGCTTGAACCTGGGAAGCGGAGGTTGCAATGAGCTGAGATTGTGCCATTACACTATAGACTGGGTGACACAGGGAGACTCCATCTCAA